TTCCTTTAGAAGGAAGGAAAACCATGGTGGGTAGACAAGGCTGAGGACAGTGAGGCACCTGCGGCCTGTGGGAGCAGTATGCAGAGATGTGGCACTGTGCCCTGGCACAGCTGGAGAATGCGTCCATGCCCACAAGGCCCCACCCTGAGCAGCACCTCACCCCCTCTCACACTTTGTCTCCAGCTTAGAAGTTGGAGCAGACATGATCGTTCTTGTGCTGCTCAGGAAGAAAATAGAACATCTGGTGAGGGCTGTGGCTCACTAGTAGAGCATTTGCCCAGCTTGCCCAAGACCCTGGGCTTGATCTCTAGCACTGCAAGAAAGTAAGACCACAGCAACAGAACCTTCCCTGGAAGCCAAAATCACAGAAAGGTCTCCTCTAATGTTAAGCGTTGAATTTGCCACCGGGGTTCTCCTGATTTCTCTGTGAGGGTCACTCCATCACACCACAAACACTAGACACACGAACACAACACATAGTTAACGTGCACCATGCACACACATACACACCTGTGAACACACAGAAGCACACACTCACATGGGCATACACTAACCAGCACCCATATGCAGCCCACACATATACCCCACACACAAATACACACTCAAGCACACTCAAACTTGGTATGACACACATACACACACATGAAAATACTTCCACACACAAATGCAATACACACATGCACACACTCAGACTTACCACTGGGATTGTAGACAGGCAAGAGGAACGACCATATTTTTGGTGTCCTGGTGCCACACGATCCTCCGAATTCCCTGGCTCTTCCTGTGGGGCTGACACAACATAGTCTACCCCTGGGAGAGAACGGAAGAGCCAGACCAAAGTTTCCAAGAAATACGAACTCATGGAGGACAAGGACGAGCTTTGCTTGAGGCTTCCTGACAAATGTGATCCCTGCTCTAGAACTGCCTTCACCTGGCAGAATTTTTTTTTGAAGATTTTCTCTTTCTCTTCAGTTTGCTGCAATGGAACATTCTGTGTCTCCTGTAGTGTTCTACTTATTATCTTCATGCTTCCTATGTCCGTGATTTGGCATCTGTCATTAATTTTGGGACGTTCTCAATGACTGTTATTCCAAATGCTGTTTGTATTCTGTTCTCTCTTTCTCCTCCTTCTCATCAATAATCTGCAAGAAACACAAAGTCTATTAATAAAATCCAAATGAACTGGTGTGTACTCCCCCTAATAGGGTATAACCGTTGATAGCTAGATATTGCAGTATGGAAACTGCTCGAGGCTCACAGTATGTACAAAGAAACAAGGTAACAGTCTACGTCTTACAGTGTGTGAGCCATTGCGTTATAGCACAAACAAGTTAATTGATCTACACTATAGAAATCTGGCTAACGCCATCAGACTGGCCAGCAACAAGGCACTTCTGGTGAGGCTAACAATGTCCTAATTCTGTGTCTGAATTCTGGTTGCTTAATGGCATTCAATATGTGACAACTCACTGAACTATGAAATTATACATGACCTTTTTTGCAATGTGTTTTGTCTTCAATAAAAGCCTTAAAAGATGAAAAAAGAAGAAAGTACTACTGATAGACACAGGCATACAGCCATAAAAACTGTCGAAGTATACTTGAATGAAAAGCTCTGTGTCACAAAACAATCAATAAATTCTTCCTAAATGCACTTTTGTTTTTTTGATCATGGGACTTGAACTGAGGGCCTGTGCACTATTTCAGCATTTTCCCCCCTCTCAACACTGGTGCTCAACCAGTTTGAGCCCCATACCTCCACTTTGGATTTTGAGTTGCTTAATTCTTAAAAAAAGGTGATGTTCAGAGGGGTTACGATTACATAAGTCAGGTAAAGAGTGATTTCTTTCTGGACAGTGCTACCCCAGGTGGTTAACTCTTCAGAGCCTTGGGAATGTATGTTCTTTAAATTGGAGAGGGAAGTTGGCTGTGAAGCACCTGGAATTACCGCATGGTACGATGTGGCACAGACACCAGGGTCACACCCAGACTCTTCCATCACCACAGTCTCCATGATGCCAAGCCCGGAGCGTTCCCCCGCCTGACCCCCAGCTACCTACCAATCCAATAGAGACCTCTGGAGCACAGGGGGCAGACTGACATGGAGATGGGCTGGTACCAGAGCCATTCAGGATTGGAGCAATATCTGTGGGCCAGTGAGGGAGACCAGAAACACCGGGCAAGGCCTACAGCAGCCTCGACAATCAATTGAATTTCAGTAAACAGAAACCCTGAGAGTGGCTCCAGGCTGGACTCTGTGAGTTCCTCACAAACCAGCCCCCGAGAAAAGCTACTGTTTGCTGAAAGTCCTCAAATCTACCCAGAACCTAGCCTCATCACAGCACCTCCAAACTCGAGGAAAAATCCATCTCCCTCTTTTGTGATACTCAAAGCAGAACTCCCTTCCATTGAACTAAGCTGGGAGGAGGATCACAGAGCATTTTTCTGCCAGTTTAAATAAATTGACTTAAGTAACCAACCAAACCACAGGAACACAAGCAGACCAGAGACTCCAACAAGAGGCTCGTTAGGAACACAAGGGAGACACAGGATTTTTCCCACCCCTCCCAAAAAAATCAAAGAACTTTTTTTTGTTGTTGTACCTTTTATTTAAAAACTTTTTTTCTAAAATTTTTTTAATCTTTAATTTTTACCTTTTTTGAAAAAAAATTGTTTTCTAGTAATTTTTTTCCTCTTAGAATTTTATTTTAACAGTATAAGTGTGTGTGCGTTTTTCTTTCTTTCTTTGTTTTTGTTTTTGTTTTGTTTTGTTTTTTGTTTAGCTCTACTGAACTTCTGATCTTTTTTCTTTCTTTCTTATCCTTTTCACCTGTTCTTCTCTTTCGTTCTTCTTTATGTGACTTAATTGCTCTTCTGCACATCCTCAGATAAACTCGCAGTTGGTCATTAGAC